AATCAGCTCAGCTTAAACAGTTCAAACAGTTCAGGACAGATCAGAAACCATTTCAGAACCCATTTTTACATAGCAAATGGATTGAAGGATATACGTACCAGATCAGTGGGAGTGGAATAGTTGTCACCAGTGATGGAATGGATACAGTGAATGAATGTGCGCTTCTTTGGTAGTCGTCTGATTCGAGAATAGGTTTGACAAATTTGACCTGTGACAAATAAATTTGGAATAAAATTGGAGATGTTTCAGAAAATCAGTGAGTTGTAAAAATAATTTTGGGAGAAATTTGTGATTTATTTGACCTTGGTCTCGTCATTGTTTGGTTACCCGGAGAGTGAATCTTCCACAACGCACAAACTGTAACTCACTTGATTTGTGGGAGATGGTATGGGTAAGAAGGGGGTTCCCAGACATAGTTTATAAAATGGTTTCAGTTCACAGAAACGAACACGACCATCATCCGTGATCTTTCAAATAGAGGAAGACGAGTAGTGAAGTTCAGCTTTAAATTTCTTTTTGCATGTGAATCTTTTTAGAAATGAAGAACATGGAAGGCTTTTCAGAAATGAAGTAGACTGAAGACACATTGGAAGCATTTGATAGTGGAGAAATGAAGAAGAAAGCTGCCAAATGGGAAATCCAAATGTATTTTGAATGATATAGTGGAATTATGATTTCAAAATCGTATCCAAATGTGAAGCGCGAATGATATGGTGGAATTGTATTTTGAGAATATAACCACACAGAGCCTAAAAGAATGAGGGAGATGGAGAAAGATGATTGAGTGAACAATCGGGGTGATTGAGTGAAAATCAAACTAACTATTAATTTACCTCTACTCCTATGCTTCGAAAAAGAAGTGCATAAAATAAAGTGCATAAAATTTACCTCTACTCCTAATACTTCAAAAATGAAGTGCATAAAATAAAGTGCAAAAAATATAAATCAATTGTCTTTGATTTGAGTTCTGGATCCCTTATAATGTAGTCATGAATGGCTCTTTATAGGCAAACATTTTTAGAAACAAACTACATAATAACTACCACATTCTTCTATTTCCCACACTTCACACTCTATGATCTTCCACTTCATCTTTAAGTCTCCATAACTTCCTTTAACCTTCAATTCATGCTTCATGATCCTCTACATTCTTTATCATCTTTTCACATGTGCTTAATGATTCATAACTTCTCATAACCTCCAAATGAGTAGGAAAGTGCCACGTGTCCTGCAATTTATCAATAATAATAATAATAATAATAATAATAAATCATTTATTTATGGTGCCAACACAAGGACAACTAAAGTCATCCGAGATTGCAAAATGACAACAAAAGGCAGAGACTCTATCAGAGGAGAGAAGGGCTTTCAGTTGATTAGCCATAAAGAAACTAAAGTGGAAAATGGATGGGAAAGAATGCCAGAAGACGTACCAAAACTTTGAAAGTAAAGTAAAAACCAACAAAAAAACAAACGAAACTTAGAGAACTTACAGGTCAAAAGGAAAGAATCACGGTCGATAGAGGAAAGGTGAAGCAGTTGCAGACGAAATCTTGAAGGTGGAAGTTTGCAATGGATGAGTAAGTGCAAAGGACAGAAGGCTATATTTTAAATTGGATCTTTTGGTTGGGCCAGATGAGCCCAAAGCCATTGGGCTTTGGGTCGTTGCCAAATAAACATTGAGAACCACATTCAATGCCGAATTAGGGACATTCATGCAGCGCGCCAAGGCCAAGTAATCCGGAGCAGTCGGAAGGGTCCCATTGACCAGGGTTATGCAGTCCCATCCCAAAGAAGCATCACAAGGAAGTGGACCCAAAAAAGGGCTCTATAAAAGATGGAAGATGACAAAAGAGAGAGGTATGTGAGAATTACTATACTCTAAGAAATATAAAATATCAATTATCCAGACGTAGAACTGACTAGACCGTCGGAGTTGTTTATCTATTTCAAGTGACATTGCAGGGATTTTTCAAGCCCATCTGGATTCGAGGAGTATATCCGAATTCACTTCCCCAAAATAGGCATTAATTATATCACTAGTGTTTGATTACTACACAAATTAATAACTGGTATGTAAAAGTTTACATCATGTTATTAATTTCTTTGTTACTCTTATCTATGGTTATCTGAATTGTACGATTCACGATACGATTCGTACGATTCGATACGATTTTTACATATAACGATTCGAATCGAGTACTTGAATCGTAAATTTAAAAGAATTGTGCGATTCGAAGTAAGAATCGTAGGAATCGATGTGAATCGTCAATACGTACGATACTCACAATTCAAATTTCATTTTTTTTCTCCTGCCTATATCTATTAAATGATGTTGTCTGATCTCTTTAATTCAAAAAAAAAAGGAAAAAAAAAAGGAATGATAAATAGAAGAAATCATTCGAAGAACAGATGAAAAACTCAAGCTAGGGCTTGACTAAGAGAAAGACGAATCAAAGAAAGGAGACAAACCTGTTCGAAGAAGAAGATTTTCGAATCTACCAGTGAAAAATCTGAAGAAATTTGAAGGTATGTAAAGAAATAACTAGGAATTGTCTTCTTCTACCCATTGTCAGTCTTACTGCTCAGTCTTCTCTCTTTCTTCTCTCTCGGTACTCAAAAGGTAAATTTGTGGGTTAGCTTTTCTTTTCCATAAAGTCTCCTTGTGGGTGAGAAAATATTAAAGTAATGGGTATTTATTTAATGTTGCTATAAGGCTCCAGACCACTATCCTCCTTTAATATATATATATATATATATAATATTTTATATAAATTATATATTTGTCCTTATTTGATTAATTTTGATTCTTTGTTCACTATTAATGGTTTTCACGTATCATTATTGTTTAGTTGTTTATTATTTTCTTGTGTGTGAAATTTTTTTTTTTATTTTTAAATTCTGTAGATATTTTTGTGAATCAACAGCGATGAAAAAGTCAGAAAAAGTGACTGACCTAACATGGGAACACTGTACAAAAGTTATAGAACAAAAATAGGGCAAATTGCAATTGAAATACAAATATTGTGTAAATAATTATTAGGGATGTGTGTATAGAATGAAACATCATCTAGCTGGTACTAAGAAAGATAACCATGTCTTAGTTGCCCAGATGAGTTCATAAATTTTAAGCACTAAATTTGTGATTTTATATGTATATATATTTTTATAAACAAATATATATAGTGTTGTGAATCTTACGATTCACGATTCAATTTTTTAGAAATATTTGATTTGCGATTTGACAACCATGCTCTTATGATTTACTTTGATTACTTTGTGATTGTAGATGGGGTATGAAAGCACAATTCTACCTGACCAAGTTCAGCTTGGATTGTTGTGAAGATGAGTGGAAGAAAGATGGTTGCATAAACCAAATCTGTCAATGCCATATCGAGTTTGCAAATTGCAGGCTTTGCAATGGATAGAGCATCGACGGCTTCAGAATGTCTCGTTTTGTTCGACTAAGTAAATGCTTTCAGTTCACCTTGGCCTACTTCTCTTCCTATCTTTTGGAAGATATCAAAGTTCTACTACGTAAGTTTAGATTTGTTTATATTATGAAAGTTGACAAGTAAATGATAAATCAAACTCATCATACTGCTTGACTTGCTCGAGAAGCTTATTTTGATGTACTTTGAAATGCTTTTGTAGAGTTGATATTTATTTATTGATGTTCTCACCGGATGGTTCAAGAACACCCAATAAGTTATCCTTGATTATCCACTCAAATTTGGCGCTTTAAAATAAATTTTAAAGAAATGAATAAAGTAGACTGGTCCAATTTCTTGCTTATCCACCATTTTACGACGTTTTTAAAGCGTCATAAACTTATAGCGACGGCCGCGTCCTCGACGTTTGGTGATAAGCGTCACTAAAGGAATTAGCGGCGTTTTTCATACATATAGCGGCGTTTTTAAAACGCCGCTAAAAGCTATTTTTCCAGCAGTGCTTATCTCGACTGATTTGAACAAAGTAAACTAATTCAATTTTAAATTGTTGTGTGTTCATGAATATTCATAAGATTTTGGAACCCTGCACTTAGTAGAAGGCCAGAAGCCAATGTTGAAATCACTCCATGTCTTCTTACTGATTAATCATTCCAATTTCCAATCATTAGTTGTTTTGAATATATTTTTTAAAATGTTTCTTTCAAAAAATTTGTATAGAATAAAAAATTATTAGTGCCACGATCTCAATCATTTGTTTTTTTATATCCACACATTGAAATTTATGCCCGTTTATTTAGGACAATGCAACTTTCACTAAATTCTAATACAAAATGCTCTGACACCGTTTGGAAAGAGCTAAACTAGGTTTTTTTGGCTAAATAAGCTATTTTAGTTATAAAAAATAAAATATCACATCTAACCCATAATCATTACACTCTTCTCTCACAAAAAAAAAGGCAAAAAAGTCAAAAAATCAAAAAACCCTTCCCAAATCAAACTTTTTAACCCATATTAAAATAGCCAAAAAAATCAAAAAATCAACCCACTTCCCAAACCAACCCTAATTATATATATATATATATTGTGAGAGAAGAATGTAATGATTATGGGTTGGATGTGATGTTTTGTTTGTTATGGCTAAAATAGCCTATTTTGTCTTTTGTGGCTAAAATAGCCAAAAAAGCCCAAGAACCAACTTGCCAAACAGAGGCTAAATAAGCTATTTTAGTTATAAAAAACAAAATATCACATCTAACCATAATCATTACACTTTTCTCTCACAAAAAAAAAAGCAAAAAAGTCAAAAAATCAAAAAACTCTTTCCAAATCAAACTTTTTAACCCATGCTAAAATAGCCAAAAAAAATCAAAAAGCCAACCCACTTTCTAAACCAACCCTAATTATATTTATTTTTATTTTTTTTTGAGAACTTGACCTTTAATGTAAAGATTTGACTCTTACAATTTTCTATTTATTTATGGGAACTGTTGCAATTGAAAATGGACTGAAATGGAATTTGAGATAAAAGTATAAAAATACTCAGGGTGATTTATCTAAAATTTTATAATACAACATATAATTGTTGTGCTTCATACCAACCTCCTAACACAACCCATAAAGTGGATCCCAGTGAGACCCACTAACAAAAAGAGTCGTTTCTAAATTAAAATAATAGATATAAAGGCATATAAGATAACAGAGGAAAAAGAATCAAGAAATTTACACAAGTTACTTAGGCCCAATAGGATTGTTAGTCTAATTTCCTTACCTATAAAGCCAACTAAACATGGCCTAAGGAAACATAGGGATGGACATGCCATTGTTGGATTGCAAGAAGTTCTCAATTTGTAGAAGTACCTGCCAAGATTCAAGAGACTATTATCAGATCAAAATAATTAAGCGAGATTACCAATAGCATATTTATACTTTATTACTTCTTTCTCCTTTTCAGTTCGATATATCTTTAACAAATGTTCCAAGAAAAGAAAGGGCCTATTTGGACACCCGAAAAATGCTTCCTACCCCCAGCTGGGGGTGACACCCAGTGAGGTGTCAGCTGGGGGTTGGAAGGAAAAAAACAGTTTTTCTTTTTTCTTTTTTTTTTTGATTTTCGACCAGTGGGGGCGCGCCACGTCACTGGGGGCGCGACCCCCACTGGGTGTAGGAAGCATGGTTGTTGGACACCCCCTTCAATTTGAATAAACTCATCCATTTTTTACACAACATTTGAATGAGGAATTTCATCATCTCCAATGGAACTATTTGGGAAAATCGTAGCCGTCTCAACTAATAAATAATATCTTTGAATTTTGTTAGTTCAAGGACACCCAGAATGAGCATGTCATATCGTGGAAGTTACTAATCTTTCCAAATAGCTTCATAAAAGTATGGTTCTCATGGATTTCTAAATTAGAATGGCATGCAACTACATGATGGTTCATTTAAATTCAAGGCCATCCACATATGGCCTTTCCAGGAGGTAGTATAGAGAATAAACTGAAAAAGTAACTGGGGACGAGGATGAGGAAGCACCTCTAGTGTTATAGCAGTTGGTGTGATATCAGATAAATCTTCAACACCAAGCTTCGCTGCAATATCTGGTAAGTAAGAAGGTTAAAATTTTCTTCAACTTTCATATATAAACATGGAATAGAACATAGTGCAAAGATTATAGATTGCATTCAACATAATTCCTCTTTTAATATGATCATTGCAATTCAGCCAGTGACGTCCACAGGGGATCCCAAAGCCTCAAATTGTGTTCCCTACAATGTCGCATGGACTCTTCTATTTCTCCCAGTGTACCAATGTCCACCGGAGATGATAAGGATAAGTGTATATAGGACATGCATGTGACACTCGAACCCAAATTAGAGTTTTGGATTCTCTAATGTTATTTTATGATTAGTAGAAGAAACTTATATTTGGTAGTAACAATAACTTTCCACTATTAGATGAGATCGAAATTCCATTTAATTTCAAGCGCATTCCTAATAAGATACAACATCTTGTATCATAATATCATACAATATGAAATATATTTAAATATTCAAGACGTGTCTACATACGCATACCCAAATTTTGGATACTTTTTCTAATATCATAATATTTAGGGTTTAGGAAGGTTGGTGCTTAGAAATACCACCCATAACCAATACTCATATGCATGTTCATGTAACTAAGATAGGCTCCCTATGGTAGAAAATCATATGAAAAGTGGAAGACTAGTTAAACTGAGGTGGTCAAGTCGGATACCAAACTGATCTCAAATAAATTCCTCAAGCAAATAGATAATCAAACTAAACATTGAATGTCTAATGTCTAGTTTTCCTGATGGTAGCTACAAACATATTTAATGTATATTCACCTAAAAAAAACATATTTAATGTGGATCTAATGATTGCAGAATAGAAAAATGTCATTCAGCATCCAAGGAAGCAAATAATCTAACAAGTGCATGTAAGTCCGCATATGAGTTTCCATCCATACATCTCATAAAGTACATAATTGGTAATTGCAAATCATATGCAGACAGACCATTTCCAGCACCGCAAAATCCTAGAAGTGACAAATCAATCAAGAAACAGAAATAAAAGAAAAAAGAATGAGAAAACATACTTTGAAGATAAACCGTAGCATCAGCATTTTCATATGCAAGACTTCTCTTTTTTGAAATTTTAAACAAACCCATGAAAGCCTATAAGGAGTTGAGGAAAATGTCAAAACCAATAACCAGATTCTTGCTCCTTGATTGGATTTCCAATAATCCAGTCAGACAAGAACATTTGAAGAAATTACTCTGCTGAAAAGGGGTGAAGAAATTTATAAGCACCTTTGTGTAAACATCTCCTGATACAAAATTCAAGAGAGGACGAGAACCAGTGCCTACAGCGGCTATTCTTCGTGCCAAGGAATCCAGGGGAACATCTAGATAGACAGTGACTCCCTCCCTCATATATTTCCTGGAATTCAAAAAAATAATCTTCTAATTGATTTTACAACTGAGCTAGGTGTGTAAACAAGAAAAGACTGAAAAAATTCAATATCAGCATACATGGGCCCTACATACCAGTTGATAGGACGAACTACAGCACCACCACCAGTGGCAACAACTTGTCGGGGCATTAAAGAGAATGTCCTTAGTGCATCACTCTAAGTGGAAGAGAAGACATTTTCTGGTTAGTAAAAAAATATACGGTACAAAATATCCAATGTAAATTGAAATCATGCATATGATGTAATAGTTTAACAAAACAAAACAATTACAATCGACATAGTTCATGACTTTTAATTATTGTCTACAAAAGCCATTCCAAACTGTTATCTTACAGTTTCCTGTTCATCTAATCACATTCTTGATATTTAACATGTGAATTCACCATTTCAACTCTTGGAATCAAGTTATGCAGCCACAATCTGATTGCTGAAACCAACATATATAGTTTATTTATTTTTTTGCCATAAGAGAAATGGATTAAATTAAAAAGATAAGTTTAGTATATTAGTTATAAAACAACATATATGGTTTGAAACAGCATACATGGTTTGAAACCTTTAATCAGTAGAATTCTGCAAAATCTCACTTAAAGGGGCCTTAGATGCCACAGAAATTAGATAAAAAGCAAATGAGTTAATTATCTAAAAATATTGTTTACAAATGTTATGGTAACTCAGGTTCTATCTAAATTTTTTGAACTAAGAAGTCCAATTTATTAAAACTGAGAATATTATCAGTTTTTTTTTCAATTTTTAAAACTAAGAATATTATCAATTTTGCATAATAATATTTCAAATAATTATTTTTCTAACTGACGAAAAAAAACAGAACATGAGATCAAATTTTTTTTTCCTTCTACTTATTGGTTTGATTCAATTATCTAATAAAATCGAGAACATTATCAGTTTTTTTTCATTTTTAAAGGGTTTTTTTTTCTTTCTAATTTTGCACATCAATGTTCCATCATTATCCAGTTTTTTTTTTTTTTTTTTTTTTGCACATATTTTTTTTTTTTAATTTTTCAATTTGAAAGTTGATGTTTTAAAGTTTTGAAAATCAAAATAATGTCAAATCATCATGTTCCTTTATACATAATCATAAATGACGAACAATCATTGTTTGAACGACAATTCCGACTGTTAAAAATTTAATGAGACTTGAAGGTCAAAAATATCTTAATTAAGACTTAATAGAGTAAAAGTTCATAAATTAGGACTTGTGTATACATACCCCAAAGAAAATTTGTTGCCTGAAGTTCAATATTGCTGGTATTTTTGCCTATTGTACCTTCAAATAGCATAAACACACATTGATTGATATATTTATTTCATGAACAATGTACTCAACCCTAACATGTGAAACTATATAATTATACAAAAACAGAGATTGCTAAATCCACAACCTAAATTGTAGTATCAACAACCCTCTCTCTCAAATGGGTGGACCGAGCTTGTAAGAGAGGGGACTGCTGATATAGGATGTAGATTTAGCAATCTCCACAGAAAAAGCAAAAACTATGTTGTGCTGATTAATCTACCATGGTTCTAATGACTTTATTTTAGTTGATTTCCACTTCTATTTAAGCCTCCTAAAAAGTCCATATTTGATAATTCACCATATAGCTAAACCTAAAACCACAATTCCAACATATAAAAAGTAACTAAATTGTAAACCCAGACAATGCCGGGACCAACAATCCAAACAAGTGGACAAGGTCTGTCCTCATTTTTTCGGTTCTAGTCACCAGGGAATAACAAACAAGCAGGTAATGATACAGAAAAGGAAATAATAAGGTATGATACTGAGAGCCTCTCAACCAGCAGGTAAACAAGTAATTTGTGGAGAATGTTGTATCTAGATTAAATGACACATGAGATAATGTAGCACATAATACCTCATAGTCTCTAAAGAAACTCTCACCGAACTGATTAAAAATCTGAGCCACAGGACTTCCACCAAGAGCCTCCTCAACATATTTGTCACTGCAACATCCAAGGATATCTGATATAATTGTCAATGTACATATTCCACAGAAAACAGTCAGAAATAAATGATGATTTCGAGGACCATTAGGATTCTGTCTTCCTTGTTTCATGAATTTTGATAGAAAAAGATTGTTGGCTAAACAAGCACCAGAAAACAAAATAGAATAGAACATACATTGAGAAACTTATCCACAAGGCAAAACTAATACAGCGGGAACAGCTTAAGCATAACTTAATTAGAAGCTCGCTCCAGCCCATTCAGCAACTACGATTAAGCTTAAGGCTCCAAGCTTAACTCCTTAATCATTTATTGAGGAGCTGGATGATTTAGTATCCTACACAAGTAAAGATGTCTTGAATGCAACCAGCTAGGTACCCTTGTCCATCGGATATGACAAAGGTAAGAGTGTGGGATGTGTGTATGATTCCCGTATCCAGTTTAGACACTTAGATCCTCTAATTTTGTACAAAGTTTAAAGAAGAAAAAATTCACATTTTCTAGTAAAGAAAAGACATGGACTAAATTGACACACGGGGAAAACTTGAGGGAACATAAGTGTTTTTCCCTTCATATTTCCTATCTTGAATTGGATAAGCAATTAAAATGTACAGAAAAATAAGGACTCAATGAAGTCCATGTAGTTGCAATTACATTGCAAATAACCTCAAGGATTTATTTAGATGTGAAGAGATTCAGGGGACAGTATGTATCCAGATCATTCTACACATGTAATAGCATGCAGAATGTTATTTTTTTAATTGTTACATTGACTCTATGAGCCCGAGAATGTTATTTTTAAAATTGTCTGAATCCAACCATTCCATACTTGTGTCAATTCCAAAATTCATAACTGAACTTGTAGAGAATCAAACTAAATGTCCTGGATGTAAAAGTAAGCCCAAAAAAAGGCACAATACATGGATTCATTGCATGTCCTTCTATGTCTTCCCCGAAATGCCTTCTATTCAAGCAGAAAGGTAAAGGATATTCCTCACCATAATATTATAATCCTTTCCATATTAATGTAAGGCTCCAATCAAACCAAACATGATATAGTTAAAGCACTAACCTGTCGACAAAAGAATAAGCTAATGGAGAACATTATCAGTTTTTTTCAATTTTAAAAATGAGAACATTATCGGTTTTTTTCATTTTTAAAGGGTTTTTTTTTTTCTTTCTAATTTTGCACATCAATGTTCCATCATTATCCTTTTTTTTTTTTTGCACATATTTTTTTTTTTTAATTTTTCAATTTGAAAGTTGATGTTTTAAAGCTTTGAAAATCAAAATAATGTCAAATCATCATGTTCCTTTATACATAATCATAAATTACGAACAATCATTGTTTGAACGGCAATTCTGACTATTAAAAATTTAATGAGACTTGAAGGTCAAAAATATCTTAATTAAGACTTAATGGAGTAAAAGTTAATAAATTAGGACTTGTGTATAAATACCCCAAAGAAAATTTGTTGCCTGAAGTTCAATATTGCTGGTATTTTTGCCTATTGTACCTTCAAATAGCATAAACACATTGATTGATATATTTATTTCATGAACAATGTACTCAACCCTAACATGCGAAACTATATAATTATACAAAAACAAAGATTGCTAAATCCACAACCTAAATTGTAGAATCCACAACCCTCTCTCTCAAATGGGTGGACCAAGCTTGTAAGAGAGGGGACTGCTGATATAGGATGTAGATTTAGCAATCTCCAAAGAAAAAGCAAAAACTATGTTGTGCTGATTAATCTACCATGGTTCTAATGACTTTATTTTAGTTGATTTCCACTTCTATTTAAGCCTCCTAAAAAGTCCATATTTGATAATTCACCATATAGCTAAACCTAAAACCACAATTCCAACATATCAAAAGTAACTAAATTGTAAACCCAGACAATGCCGGGACCAACAATCCAAACAAGTGGACAAGGTCTGTCCTCATTTTTTCGGTTCTAGTCACCAGGGAATAACAAACAAGCAGGTAATGATACAGAAAAGGAAATAATAAGGTATGATACTGAGAGCCTCTCAACCAGCAGGTAAACAAGTAATTTGTGGAGAATGTTGTATCTAGATTAAATGACACATGAGATAATGTAGCACATAATACCTCAAAGTCTCTAAAGAAACTCTCACCAAACTGATTAAAAATCTGAGCCACAGGACTTCCGCCAAGAGCCTCCTCAACATATTTGTCACTGCAACTGATATAATTGTCAATGTACATATTCCACAGAAAACAGTCAGAAATAAATGATGATTTCGAGGACCATTCAGCTTGCTTGTTTTCATTTTTCAGAAAACACTTTTCAGAAAATTCTACTTTCTTATTTTCCGTGTTTTTTTTGTTTTTACTGAATTTTTTTAATATTTTAAGTAATTTTTTTACTTTTTAGACATACCTAACATAAATACACCTAAAAAGTAAAAAATTTGTAAAAAAAATCTTTTAAAAATTCTCTAAATGCCAAAAATACAAAAAACACTACAAGAATTCAGTACATTTTTTATATTTCTATGTATTTATTAATTTTTTAAAATATTTCTTCACAAATTTTTTACTTTTTAGATACATCTAACTAAGGTGCATCTAAAAAAGTAAAAAAAATGTTTAAAATTTAAAAAATATTTACTAAAAACAAAAGAATACGAAAATCAAAAAACTCAATTTTTAAAAAATTTAATCTAGAAAAGTCAAACCAAACACACTGATTAGGATTCTGTCTTTCTTGTTTCATGAATTTTGATAGAAAAAGATTGTTGACTAAACAAGCACCAGAAAACAAAATAGAATAGAACATACACTGAGAAACTTATCCACAAGGCAAAACTAATACAGCGGGAACAGCTTAAGCATAACTTAATTAGAAGCTCGCTCCAGCTCATTCAGCAACTACGATTAAGCTTAAGGCTCCAAGCTTAACTCCTTAATCATTTATTGAGGAGCTGGATGATTTAGTATCCTACACAAGTAAAGATGTCTTGAATGCAACCAGCTAGGTACCCTTGTCCATCGGATATGACAAAGGTAAGAGTGTGGGATGTGTGTATGATTCCCGTATCCAGTTTAGACACTTAGATCCTCTAATTTTGTACAAAGTTTAAAGAAGAAAAAATTCACATTTTCTAGTAAAGAAAAGACATGGACTAAATTGACACACGGGGAAAACTTGAGGGAACATAAGTGTTTTTCCCTTCATATTTCCTATCTTGAATTGGATAAGCAATTAAAATGTACAGAAAAATAAGGACTCAATGAAGTCCATGTAGTTGCAATTACATTGCAAATAACCTCAAGGATTTATTTAGATGTGAAGAGATTCAGGGGACAGTATGTATCCAGATCATTCTACACATGTAATAGCATGCAGAATGTTATTTTTTTAATTGTTACATTGACTCTATGAGCCCGAGAATGTTATTTTTAAAATTGTCTGAATCCAACCATTCCATACTTGTGTCAATTCCAAAATTCATAACTGAACTTGTAGAGAATCAAACTAAATGTCCTGGATGTAAAAGTAAGCCCAAAAAAAGGCACAATACATGGATTCATTGCATGTCCTTCTATGTCTTCCCCGAAATGCCTTCTATTCAAGCAGAAAGGTAAAGGATATTCCTCACCATAATATTATAATCCTTTCCATATTAATGTAAGGCTCCAATCAAACCAAACATGATATAGTTAAAGCACTAACCTGTCGACAAAAGAATAAGCTAATGCTTCAGACAAAATTTTGCCCACTGTTGTTTTTCCGGAGCCCATCATTCCTGAATTTCAAACTCCACAAAATTTTAATCACAAGAGTAGCTTAAAGTAACCATCATTAAAGACAATTCTCAAAAAAGCAACTCACCAACGAGAAATAGCCATGCACTCAAGAACCATTACATTTCCGTTAGTTGAGAGGGGGAATGATCTCAAAGCCTTCTGCATCCAAAATCAATTCATTCTGATCAATTTTAGTCCAATGACATCTTTTCCTAAATCATGGGCAAGAACAAATATATTTAATCGGCAGTTCATGAAATTGAGAAAATGTGGGACAACTGTTATCAAATAAGGAAATTCAAAAAGTAACTCTTATTTCACATAATCAAACTTTTCTGGCAGCTTTTTGAGGAGGAATGAGGCACTCATACTAGGATGGAAATTACAGGATCTTCCATAAGGACGACTGCATGAAACTGCTGTTTATCATGGTATGAGGAGGCCTGAGTAAATCTTTTCTTCACCATCTCATAATTGTCTCTACATTTTTAACATATGCATTGCTTTACTTAGGAAACTTCTTTCCTCTTCTACAAATTTTCTTGCTCTGCAGTAAAGAAAAATAGAAAAATCTCAGCAGTAACCTGCCTTCTCTAACCAGATATTCAAATGCCCACTGCACAATAAGAGCAAACACAACCACGGGCATGCTCCTTATGCCATATCACTTTTACCCATTCTTTCCATTTTCTATTATCACCTCTCGCTCCAACTTAAAATTTCACAATTAACATGATTTAACCTCCCAAAATCACCTTTCTATGTCGAGATTCGTAAGGGTATCACAACCAAATCATTTAACTTTTACATCAAGGTTTTTTTTCAGAAAAATTGGGAGAACAGATTTGGTGTCAAATATTACAATAGGTGCTCAGTTAAAGTTAGCTGGGGAAATCTCTCATCGTAAAACTGCATCGCCAACTACGTGTTTGGTAATTGCTTTGACTTAAAACATAATTGTAGTCTATCCAAACATGTATACACTCTTGAGCGTTCCAAATTAACACAAACCAAAGTGCAGACTGCATGTATATAAATAGGGTAAATTACACTTCGCCCTCTTTATGTTTGGCTACTTTTCAATTTGGATTTAAAGTTTTTTGTTTTCCACTTTGACCCTTTGTGTTTCAAATTTTTCTCATTTTAGTCCTAAAACTATTTTTGTTAAAAATTAGATAGAAAATAACGTATTGACAATCATGCGGCATAAAAATGTTTTATTATATATGACTTGAATGCAAGATCTAAACTCAAACTCTAATACAATAATATATTTTTTTATGTAATGTGACAGTTATTATGATATTTTATGGGGAGACTTATTTATAAGTCCTATTTCGGACACTTATGTTATGTTAAGTCCTGTGTAATTTCTTATAGAGTTGCAAGTCCTATTTAGATAGGAATGTATTCCACAAGATCTTATGAGTTGTAAATAAATGGTATTAATATACTATTATACACTATAATGGCAAAACCATATATAGGAAATTGAATGTTACCATAAATCATATCTATATGAATGTGAATTTCAAAATACACGAACAAGTAACATTTTCACATTCAATTTAAAAAATTAAAAACCTAGTAAGTTTGTGAAACGTAACGTGACACGTTACGTTACGTTTATGTAAGTGTCACGTTACGTTTCGCAAACTTAATTTACGGTAACATTCAATTTCCTAAATAGCATATTCAATTTCCTAAATTGAATGTTACCATAGATCATATATATATGAATGTGAATTTCAAAATACACGAACAAGTAACATTTTCACATTCAATTTAAAAAATCAAAAACCTAGTAAGTTTGCGAAACGTAACGTGACACGTTACGTTACGTTTATGTAGGTGTCATGTTACGTTACGTTTATGTATGTGTCACGTCACATTACGTTTATGTAATGTCTCATCTGATATGGTCATGTTACGTTACGTTTATGTAGCTGTCACGTTATGTTTCGCAAACTTAATCTATATGGTTTTACCATTATTTATGATATTAATAACTAATATTGACGGTAAATGTGTCAACAAACTTCACACAGGACTTATGGGAACATAAGTTTCTTAGTAGGACCATATGTAGCATAAGTCTCCCTAATAGGACTTATAAATAATTTTTTCTATTTTATGTCTAATTTTAAACAAAAGTTAATATAAGAGTAAACGGAGAAAAACTTGAAAAATCAAAGTTGAAAAAAAAAAAGTTTTCAATCGGAGAAGACTGGCTACCTACAGTAAGTTGAGAGGATAGCATATGCTAAACAGCCAAAGCAGAGTATGCAGCGAAGGAAGTCGTCTCCTTATTCACTGGACTTTCAATAAAACAATGAAGATTGCTGCCCGAGTTATAAGGAAAAGACTCTATCAACAAATGACAGAGCTAACTTAGACATATTGAAGGACAGGTTTTGATCCGTGTGCCAAGTCTGATCTTTTCTTTCGTGTGATGGACAAAATTAAAGTTTTCCATTGAAAATGAGTGTCAGAGCCAGCTCTATATAATTTATGGCCTAAAGCAATAATTAAAAATGAGGCCTTTTAGATCAATCACTTGTTCATTTATGGAACTTTCGCCTAAATTTTTTGTACTATCATCTCTTTTTTTTTTTTTTTGTATGGTTTCAACAGATTCTAATTCTTTTGGATCAATTACTTGTTCATTTACAGAATTTTCGTCTAAATTCTTTGCTATATTTTATTAGTAGTAATGAATTTATCAAGAGCTTCTTTCATAATAAGATTTTCTATTTTTCTTAAGTTTTTCATATCCAGATTCATATTTTCTATTAGACATTTGTTTTCTTGAAAAATAATCCCAAAGAAATAATAATAATGAGCACAACACTAGAAATAATAAAAATACAAAAATATATATATTGAAAGGGTAGAACAATAAAACCTGACGATGAATCAAGCCTTGAAGAATACTTCAGATATAGTAAATCACAGGATAGTGCAAATAGTGAATCAAGAATAATAGAATTATTGATGATGAATCAAGCCTTGAAAGATAGTGTAGAGAGAGAGGAAGAGTTTTTTTTTTGGGTAAATTACAAGCACACCGCTTGAGATTTATTTAAATTATAAATTATCCCTCTGTTTCTAAAAATTACATTATGTCGCTTATAGTTTCTAATTTCATAACAAATAAGTCATTTTATTAATAAATCATCAAGTTATTTATCAGTTTTTAATAATGTTTAAATTTTATTTCAATTCATAATTCAGATAATTTTATTATTGTATAGATGAACAGTTAAAAATTTTATTTTTTCAATTAATTCTGTTAAATAAAAAATTCTTACAATGAGGTATTTATAATTTTTCAAACCATAGAGGCAATTCATATTTTAAGCAAATCTTAGGAGATATATTTATAATTTATCTCTTTTTTTTTAATGGAGAGAGGGAGATAGAGAGCCGAATATGAGAGGGAGAGAGAGAGAGCGACAGAGAGCGTCAATTAGAATATAGAGAGATATCTCTACAATTAAGAAAAATATTTTTCACTTCCATTATAAATCAACTGTTCCCATACCATTTTTAAAAATATATATATATATATTTTTTTTTTTTTTGGTATGTGTGTGTAAGATAAAGTTTGGGTTCTATCATTTTGTTTTATTTTGGGCCTTTTTGTTTATTGGGCCTTTTTATTTAAAAATAAATAAATAAATAATGAATCACATAAATCTTATATCAAAAAATTAGGCCCTCCCAAATTTAGAGGGCTAAAGCTTGGGCTTGCCTAGCTTTATGACAAAGCCGGCCCTAATGAGTGTGACAAATGGGCGGATCCAGCCAGTACTGAGAGCTTGCCAATAGTGGCACATATAAAGGAGGCAAAGCATAGTTTATCCAAAAAATAATTTACATAATTCAATAAGTTCAAAGCGGTAAAAAGTGAGTAACTAACAATCAATAACAAATAAATTGCATATTGTTAATCAGTAATACCCACCATGAGAATCCTTGCAAGCATGTGAAACAATCAAAGAAGCCCATCCATGGCGGGTCGACCAATTCCTCCATAGCAACTCACTGAAATGAATCACATTAAGCCCAGAATCTTTACTAAACCTCTGAGAAACTCCCAAAATCCCTTTCAATCTCCCCTCAATCTTCTCCGATATCATCCACGGAGGCGAGATTGTAGTGTTGTAGCCTCCATTCCTTGAACTTATCAATCAAATCCTCCAAAGAATGTATATGTTTTTTCCTATAACAACTATTATAAGAATTTCACACGAGTTTTTTTTGTATAGAAAATATTTTTTGTCCAGAGCTGTTGCAAGACAAATCAAAGTCCAAACAACAAAACCCTAGAATTAACTCGCAACCAAACGAAATCAACAATGAGCAAAACAGAACCAAACGCGTATTGATTACAATCCAACGAATCGATATGATTTTGCATTTTTCCTTTTAAAAAAGAAAATCTTATTTTCTCGAGAAAAAGGTTTTCGGTTAAATCAAAAGAAAGGAAAACAGATGATTAGGCGGAGCCGTGGAGATCACTTCAATTTTCTCAGACTCTTTTGAGAAATTGATTTCCAAGAAACAGAGAGAGAGAGAGAGAGCAATGCGTACCGGAATGGAGGAGGAGGAGGATGAGAAGAACGAGATGGGAGAAGCGGCGCACTTTGAGGAGAGGCAGATGCGCATGATAGCAGGAGGCGGAGAGAGAGGAGAACTCATGCACATGCAGTAGCACGGAGAGAGAGAGAAAGAAAGAGAGCAAGAAGGCGGAAAATTATAGAATACTCCGGTCCGAGCTTACCAGAGTAACTTGATATGTCCGTTGCCTTGCTACTTTTGGGAGTGGGTCATGCATGAGAATAGGAATAGGACTTAGCATGAGAATAGGAACTGTTGAACTGCTGCCTCCAGAATAAGAATTAGTTGTAGATTATTTTCAATAATGGTTGTAATGGTTGCTTATGCTTCCACAATTCATGCCACGTTTTTTATTTATGGTTGTTACATCTTGTAGTTGGTGTGTTCTCATTTGCCTTATAAATGGCTTGGGAACTTTTGAATAAAACGGCAGATAATTACAGTTTCAAAAACCTCTCTCTCTCTCACTCCAGTCTCTGTTCTTCTAAGCCTCTGTTCTCTTCTTATATAAAATTCTTATCATTTGGTATCAGAGCCAGGTTACATGGATACACGGGCCAAAAGCAACGCTAAGTTTCGGAGTGAAGTCAACGAAGCATTAGCTCGTCACGAATCCAACTTTGACCAAATCCACGGCACCCTCCAAACTATTTTGACAGAACCCCAGACCATACGAGTCTCGCAAAACACCCCTTCCATCGATAACCCATTTGCCCCAGCCGAAACCTCTCATAACCAACCTCTTTCCACTACCCACAACACTCCAGACCGAAATCACAACACCCCAGACCGAAACCACACACACTTGAAGCTATCATTTCCTAAATTCAACGGAGACGATCCGACGGGCTGGATCTTTAAGGCTGAACAATACTTTGATTTCAAGAGTGTTACTCCTGACCAACAAGTTCAGCTTGCTTCTTTTCACCTCGAAGGCATAGCTCTCTAGTGGCTTCGATGGCTAACCAAGTTTAGAGGTCCATTAACTTGGAACGAGCTAACCAAGGCCCTTTTGCTCCGCTTCGG